TGCTAATTATTATTGTACTAGAGGCCTGGTGCACAAATTCGTGCGTGGATGGGGATCCTTAGGGTGGCCTGTGGGGATCAGGCTGAAACCCATAGTCCAACACCACCTGCCGCTGCCACTCATCCTGGCCCCACTGCACCTCCTGCAGGCTCACGCCCAATTAGTACTGATCAGGAGAGGCTCGCGCTGCCACAGCAGCACTCACCAGCCATGAGCCCTGCATCTGGTGCCCTCCCAAGGGGCCTGGCCGGTGGGATCAGGCCAAAACAAGCTCTCTGACATCTCCCAAGGGATCTTGGATTATGAGAGGGCGCAGGCCAGGCCAAGGGACCCCGCTGGTTGCACGACTGGGGCTGGAAAGGGACCGAGGGAGGGCTCTAGGGCATGTCCAGTCAATCTCGCTCAGTCCCAATCAGCCAGACCCCAGCAGCAAGCTAACCTACCAGCCAGAGCATCTGCCCCCTCATGGTCAGTGCATGTCATAGCAAGCGGTTGAGCAGCCATGGCATATCATTAGCATGTTATGCTTTGATTGGTTGAACAATTGACTGGTCACCTGACAACTGGACACTTAGGATATTAGACTTTTATTATATAGAATTTTCACAGTTGTTTTTCTAAAACCTAACCCATTTTACTTATTTATATTACTTGCTGGTCCTTATATGCACTTGAATTTGAAACTCCTATTGTAACCCATCGTTTCAAACATTTGTAAAGTATGGGGATACCATGTAATTATGCTTTTGGTATCTGTAAATTGAAAGATACAAAAGAAAAATTCTATAACCTCAGCAATACCTTTAAATGAATTTATATATTATAAATCACAATAGCACCACAGATATTTGCATATTCATATGTGACAAATAATACTTAAGTGTATGGGTGATGTATAAAGCACACATGGAACAGTGAACCTTTTGCTCTAAGTCTTATATTTTCCCACATATCTAACCCCTATTGACCTTTTCTTTAAAGATAATATAAAAATTCGGGAAAATAAATCCACGAGTTATATAAAAATTGTTTACCAAAAAGAAATTTTTCCAAAATAGTTTGGGACATTAAAGTCCATATGCAAGTTTTGTTTGTCTTTGCTTCTGATTCCAGAGCCTTCTGACCAACCAATCTTAGCACACTGATTTGCCCCTAATAGGTTCCAGGTGTGGCAAACTGTTGCTTCACTTGAGTTCACAGGTCAACTGGTAGGGCCTAGAGTGGCCAGAGCCCCCAGGGATAGTTGCCTCTGTCCACAAGAGTTCTGCCTATTTGCCTCAGTATACTACGCAAACATTCTCACTGCCTGTGTGCATCACAATGCACTGCCCTATATGACAACTAGATGCTATCAAAATAATAACATCAAGGGGAAAAATGACCTATTAACAATACTACATGGATCAAAAATTAGCTCACACTCATAACATTGTTTTGTTCTCAAAAAAATCATGAGTGGCACTCATGTTTATTATTATCAAAGATGGGCGATTTGTCCCATAACACACACTGCTAGGAAATGGCAGAGCCAGGACTTCTGAATCAAGGATTTCTGCCTCTGAGCCCTATGCGTTCTGTAGGATGCCATTCCAAGTCTGTATAGATCTTGAAAATTAGCATTTTGAGTTCATTATCTAAAAACAGTTCAAATGGTTTTCCTTTGTTTTCTCTTATGATTGCCATGCAAACACTAATGTATATGGAAACTGATTCCCTCTTTGAACTTAGCAAGACTCAGAAAGAACGACATTAAAGGACATATTTAGGCCACACCAATTTTCTTTCTTCAGCTCCCATTGTTGACATCCAGAGAGCCAACCCTTATTCTTTTGTGTAAGTAGAAAAAGAGAGTTTTTGCCTACCACTCTCCCAAAAAGTAACTATTAAAAAGAAAGTAGTAGGTTGCCATTGATCATGCTGAAGTTTTGTTTTGATTTGCCAATTACAATTTTTCATTGTCCTTTCCATAAAGGGAAGAATAAGGAGAAAGAAAAGAAATTGTCAAAATTAAATTACATATTTATTGATAACATACAAAAGGAAATATGAATTTTACATAAAAAGCAATTATTGTCAAGAGATATTATTGAAATAACAAAATTTAAGTTTGCTTAGTCCTGTCTTAGTAAAGTTAGACAACTAATAGATTTCAATGACTAGAAATGATAATTTAATTTCTTTATAGCAATGCAGAAATAAAGAGGATACATGCATTAAAATAGGAAGGTATACAGAAACATCTATAAGTAGCTATTATAGACAGATTCAAGTGCACAACCAATATCTAAAATATTAACCAAATGTTAATTCACTGTTCAGAAAACAAGAACATGGTGGAATGGTGGAGCATGCATGGCATAACACAATAAGTGTAAGCAAGTCTAAGTGAGAGACTATAATAAATGCAGATGTTATAGAAGTGAGATCGCAGCAGGTGTAGAATTTTGTGTTTAAAGACGTGGGCTCTACATCCTGAACACCAGGATTCAAATCCTGGCTCTATCACTCAGCAATTGGGTGATGATAACCTGCTTAGGTTTTTAAGTGCAGAAATAGTGTTGCTCTCTTGATCCTATCAACAGTTAAGGGTAGTAAAATTATAGCATTTTATAAAAAGTAGAATTCTTATATTGATTTATTGCTTATTTTCAATAATACTTTTTAACCAGCTCTTCATCAACCACAACATGTGCACAAGGGATAAAATAAATTCTGCCACCCAGTAACAAATAAGCCTAGACTAAGTTAGAATAACATAAGCACAACCCTGTGGGCAAGTTCATGGTAAAAAGCCAGGCTAACCTAGTTCCACAATAAGCACATTTGAAAGCAATTTGATTCTTCCAGTTCATAGTGAGTATCACATCCTGTTCCTCAAGACTGAGTCACGACACCTGCAACACTACTCTATTACCTGTTATCATGTGGTACAGATTAAACATTCTCCTCAGCAACTAGCTGCAAACATGAACTCTACTTCTCAGGACACAACTTTACCACCTATTTAACGAGGGGTTGTCTAACCGACAAAGTCAAAGTCTATCTTCAGAAGTCCAGTCTTTTTGGTGTGCACAGAGATTGATTAGTGCATGTGTGTTTCACTGGTAAGTTCACTGGAGTCAAATTTAAGTACCATACCATATCTTATCCATCCAGTTTAAGCTGTATATGCAAAGTTAATCCAGGGAGAAATGTATACTCAGTATTACAAAATATGGTGTCTCTAAAAATGTTAAATATACTAAAATTCCACAAATTCTTAATTCTTCAACTGCTACACATACAAATTTTCCTAACACAAACATGCATGTACAGAAGTGTTTTAAAATGTGAAATCACAGTTAAAAGCAAGCAAAGGCAATATCCTGAGCAATCATAAATATAGAAACTAATAAAGAATGAAATGCTAGGTCAATAAACACCTCAAGCAAATATTAAATGAATACTTATACAGCATGACTTCAATTCCCAAACTAATAAAGGAACTAGTAAGGTTACAGAAAAGCTATCCAAATAGCCTCAGCTAAAACACACCATCTTTGTTGTCTATTTCTGAAATTACACATTTGAAGAATAACCTCCAATTAAATTCTCGTAGCATTCAATTTTACTCTTAATCAATCACTGTTCTTAGCACTGTATAAACCATATTAAAGCTTCAGTACTCGTCTACAGCCAAACACAAGTAATCACATCTAATGCTGTACCTAAATGAAATGGGAACAAATTCCACACGTTTTCCTTAAATAGATTTTAAGTTGGCAAACAGGTTCTACACTAAGCAAGGAAACGGCTCATTTCTGTGGAAACTTGATTGGGTTTCCATTGCATCAGAGTTTCATTTTCCACAACCACACATAGGAAAGGTCAGCAGTGGGTAAGAAGGAGCACACACATGCGTGGGAGCAACATGGATGCCCCCCAGGGAGGAGCAACAGGGGACAGAATGAAAAGCTGGCAGATACACTGCTGCCTCAGCAGAGCCTTCCTGAACCGAGAGGTCTACACACACCTACACACACATCCATTAGCGAATGGAAACTCGCCACGTTTTTAAAGCATTTAAATTTTATGGGTAAGTTTTAATAACATCTGACTTTCAAACAGAACCAGGCTCAGTCCATATTAATTTCTGTAAATGATACTGGAGTTTACAGAAAATAAAAATAAAAATATTGAATTTGATACAGAATAAAATAAATGAATGTCTCTCTGGGAGATATCACAGTTCTTACAAGAAGTGAAAAGTTAGATTTTATGATATTTAATTTTATATTTCTCCCCAATTAACATAGTCTACTTTACTAGGATGTTTGGGTACTGATTAATTAATTCAGATTCAAAATGAAATATGAGAAATCAAAATGGGAAACCGCTCTGGAATATGGCAACTTTTTAATCCTACAGATTGTATAATATCTTAAAAAACATTTTTTTAAAGTTTTAAATGACAATACCAAAGAGAATAAGTCAACAAAAACCCTTTGAGTAGGATTCACCACACTTTATATTCTCTTTTAAGATATTAGGCCTTATGAGTATTTTGCTAATTTAACAAGGATATGGCTCTAAGGAATATGAATTCTGACAAGTAACTTGAAGCCATTTCACTTGCACGACTGGAAAAAAAATATGCTGCAGTGAGAACCTCTGATCCTAAAGGCTAGCTAGCATCCATCAGATCTTATGAAATTCCAAACCATTCCAAATAACATGACTACATCCTCTTCCTGAAATGGCTATTACTATTTTTATTTTATTATTGATTTTAGAGAGAAGAAGGGAGAAAGAGTGAGAAACATCGATGTGAAAGAGAAATATCCCCTGCAACCTGGGAATGTGCCCTGACCGGGAATCGAACCTGCCACCTTTGTATAGGGACGACGCTGCAACCAACTGAGCCACACCAGCCAAGGCTGAGATTAATTTTTTTTTTAAAAAAAAAAACCTGTTTTCTGTATCACTGATGTTTATGTCTCATATCTTTGTCAAGCACTCACCTGTGATTTTTTGCAGCAAAGGCGACAACTCAGACTCCTTACATAAGACTTGAGCCAGTGCTTTCTTCACTTTTTCTTCTGTTTCAGCCAGGTCTTTGTCCTCTGTGAACTCTCCAGTGACCGAATAAATGTATATGAAGAGGACCAACAGCTCTTCTGGGCTGTAGTCATCGTTGGTCCTTTGATTTGAAGGCTTAATCAGGGGCAGCAGCTGATTTAGCACAACAGGCATCGTCGACTCCCCAATGCTCTGAAATAAAAGGTGGTAATGTGAAAATATGTCAAGCTATACAAAGATGTAATTTATGCACTACATCATATAGGATGCAAACAACGCCTAGATGTTCGCTCTCTAGATTGCTTCTTATTTGTTTGTCTCGCCCTGGAGAGAATACTGCATGAAGTCTGGCGTTAGAGTTGTTGTTTTGAAAGGTCTATTTTTGTTTGTTTTTTGTTAATCCTCACCCAAGGTTATTTTTTCCATTGATTTTTAGAGAGGGTGGAAGAGAGGGGAAGAGACACAGAGAGAGAAACAAGTGTTTCGTCAATCTGTTTGCCTCCACCCATGGGGATTGAGCCTAAAACTGAGGAGGTATGTGCCTTTGACCGGAATAGAACCTGGGACCTTTCAGTCTGCAGGCAAATGCTCTATCTGCTGAGCCAAACTGGCTAGGGTGAAAGATCTATTTTATAAAACAGCTAATCCAATTGTAGACCCTTTTGTATTATCTTACATATTGCTTAAACAGAGTCCACTAGTCTCAAAATTAAAAATACGAGTACTTCAGATACAGAAATTTAAAATAAAACTAATGTATTTGTAAAGTAAATGATTACAAATAAATATCTATATATCCAAATGAGTATTGATACTCCTTCAAAATAATGACCTCAGCTTTTGCAGCATATTCTTTTTAACATTCTCTATATTGGTAAATATCAGTCTGAATAGACTTCAATTGGCTAGGTAATACCTGAGCACATCAATTCCTAAAATTTCATTCTCATCTGCTTACTGCATTCCAAGAAGTTAATTTGGAGTTGAATACAAAGCCAGAAGTACTGATCAGTCACAAAGAGGTATGCAATGAAGAGGAAGTAAAAAGGCTCCATCTCAAACAGCCTGAGTCCAATCCTGACTCTTCCTCTATCTAGTTCCTTAGCCTCTAATAACCTCTTTATCTCTAAAAGGGCATGATATAATTAGAGAATGGCTGAGCTTTTAAATTATATTTTTGTCAAGTGCTCCATTTTCACTTTCTCCCCCCAGTAGAAGACAGCAAATCATGTTCTTACTGTTGGTTACACAACAAAATATAAGAGTAAAAGGAAAAAAAAGAAGAAAAAAAGAAAAAGGAAAAAAAAGCTTTACTGTGGAAGCAAATGTAGATACAGAAATACTGCAGACATGTATACAACATGGACTGCTATACATAACGCATTTCCTAACTCTGTCCACTAGCAGGTTCTATTATAGAAGCAGTGACACCCCAGTAGCAATGAGCACACCCAGTGGTCACATCTAAGTTTCTAATATCCTATATCACATGTGTCAAACACAAGGCCCGCGGGCCAAATCCGTCCCGCCAGGCCTTGCAATGTGGCCCGCACCGCGCTGTCATCACTGCACTCCGCTGCGTTTCCATCACAATGACAGTTTATGACTGTTCAGTAAACCATTCGGCCCGCGATTTAGGCTGGATTTTAGATTTTGGCCCCTTCTCTGATTGAGTTCGACACCCCTATGACCTATATAATAAAAGCCTGATATGACCACCAGGGGGAAGACGCTCCGACCAGTAGTTTAGCTTGCTGCTGGGGTCCAGCAGATGGGGACTGAATGAGAAGGGTTGGACATGCCCTGGGGTCCTCCTGTGGACCCTCCCCAACCCCAATCATGCACCAGTGGGGTCCCTAGGCCTGGCCTACTCCCTCTCGTAATCTGAGACCCCTTGGGGGATGTCAAAGAGCCAGTTTCAGCCCAATCCCCACAGGCCAGGCCAAGGGACCCCACTGGTGCATGAATCCATGAACTGGGCCTCTAGTTCTAAAACAAATGGAAACAGGGGTCCTTGGAGAAATGGCTAATTCTAAGGATGAGTCAGGAAAAATACAAGAGAAACCTGGGAGATCTTATAGTGCCCAAAAGTAAAGGAAGTCCTGAAACAACAACAAACAAACAAACAAACACAAAAGAATGGTGGCAAGTCAAAAGGAGACAGGAGATAATTGGAACACCTCCCAGCAGCCAAAGCTGAAACAATTTGAGCAAGAAAATTGTTGTAAAAGATTGTAATCCAAAGTATAGAATAAATGTGCATCATGCCATACTGATATAAATAAGTGAGTGCATTAATTAATAAATGTAGGAGAAGAGAAAAATCTTCCTTTCAGAAAAGTCCCAATAGCTAATGTGAATACACCCCACCTGGAGGTAGAGCTCAATATCCCCACCTTATGAGTGTGGGCTGCACATGATGACTTGCTTCTCAAAAAATCATGGATAAAAAGGGGAGGGAGGAGTAATTGACCATAGCCAGAAGATCAAGGTTAATATTACCAGTGATAAGTCATAATATATTATGTCCCTACTATGATGTGATGAGGATGACATTCATTTTTGTATTCTCCCAAATCCAAAACCACACGACAAAGCATCAGATAAATCCTGAGAAACATTCTACAAAATGCCTAGCTAATACTCCTCAAAACTGTCAAGGTTATGAAAAGCAAGGCTAAAAAACTATCATACACCAGATGCGACTAAGGAAACAGAATGACTAAATGTAATCTGGGATCATGGATCAGAGAAAGGACATTAGAGAAAACAAGTGAAATCAGAATAAAGTTTGGAGTTTATACTTAACCATAATAGACCAATGTTGGTTTCTTAGTTTTGACAAATGTACCACAGTAATGTAAGTTGTTAACAATACACTGAGTGATATATAGAAAAATTTCTGTATTATCTTGGCAACTTTCCTATACATCTAAAACTACTCTGAAATAAAACATTTATTGGGAAGGAAAGAGGAAGGAGAGGGAAGGACAGAAGAGATCAGATGAGACAAACATAGGTAAATGTTGGTTTCCTTTCTGTTAGACAATTTCAGCTCCATATGAGGGAGAACTCCTATCACTAGCACCAAGGTAAGAGACCGAGAAGGGACATAATAAACTTTCCACCAATGGCAAAGGGAGGCAGTGTGATCACCTGGCAAGGATGTAACCGAGGGAATCCCATGCTACCACGCTTGGAAGGTAAACTAGAGCTTCCTAATGCTATCCATAAAAGCATGGCTCCAGACTGGATAGATATTCATCTTCTGGTTTTCTGCTCTTAGAATGAAATACCAAGAAGGAAAGAAAAAAATCAGTGATCCCCCCGAGATTAAAACCTTTTTAAATGTGAAAGAAAGACTCTGAGGAGGATTAATAATGAGGATATGGAAGTAAGATTACATGTCTTGGTCTGCATCCTGGCTGTACCAGTTATTAGCTGTGTGATTTGGGGCAAGTTATTTAACTTCGCCAAGCCTCAGTTTCCACATCTATAAAATGGATATAATACCACAAATACTTGAATATTAATCAATCCCAAGCCACAGGGCCCTATTTTCATAATTCTGAATTATGTAATTAAGTAACTCTGATGATTACTTAAACTACTTTGAGGTGAAAATGGAGTAATCCCCACCATAGGGCAGGCTTTTTCAGGACTCAAACATAAGGGGACACCCTCTTTTCTGAGGACCAATTTTGGGGGAAACACTTTCCCCTATATGTGAGGATAGACAATAATAGCTTCTGCTTCTTAAAGTTGCTTTAAAGATTAAATAATAGAAGTAAATTATGACAAAACTGGTTTGTCTCAGTGGATAGAGTGTCGGTCTGTGGACTGAAAGGTCCCAGGTTCGATTCCGGTCAAGGGCATGTACCTTGGTTGCGGGCACATCCCCAGTAGGGGGTGTGCAAGATGCAGCTGATCGATGATTCTCTGTCATCGATGTTTCTAACTCTCTATCCCTCTCTCTTCCTCTCTATAAAAAAAATCAATAAAATATATTTTTTAAAAATAAAAAAGCAGTAAATCACATAGCCTTGCATAAATATTAACTATTACTCCAACTACTATCGCCTGGACTGCTTCCTTCTCCAGCAGAAGTGATGGAGATGAACAAAATGCTTTCTAGGAATAGGAGATAGCAGTCTCAAAGAAGGGAGCAGCAGCCTGCAAACACTGGACGTGAAACTGCATCTTGGAGCTTAGCTGCAAAGTTAGTCAAAGGTGAAAGGCAATATAAACATTATTAAACGTTGCCATTAAAAAAGCACACATGGGGCAAACCACAACCGAAGCAAAAAATAAAAAGACTTCTTTATGAAATGCCAGGGATTAAATTTCTTATTCATTTGCTATAAATGGGCCTACTGGTAGGAGGTGGAAGACTGGAGCTGTGTAGAGAGTGACAAAACTATTCTGTAGACTGGGGCTCCTGTTATTTTTGAATGAGTCCCCAGTAACTCCATATAAAAGGCCCTCTGTCGAATGCATATTGTCTTTAGAAAATCCAATTTTTGGACTGAATTAAAACATCTCTGCAAGGTCAGAGTCCATCTCTGTGCTGGCTACCTCTGCAGGCACCAGGAGCAAAAGGCTGCAGAGCAGGCTGGCTGGCTTCACACCTGCTCCTCCATGCTGCAGGTCCCGCAGACTCAGTGAGACTCTAAGCCACTCTAAGGTGCTGCAATTCCTCCAAGCTCCTGCTCGGTCCTAGGCACACTGCCAGAGAGCCTGAAGGAGTGCCTAAGGCCCTACTACCCCACAGCATCATTTGCCATCCTTGTATTAAGACTTGCCACTAGGCCTTAAATCCCCATAACATGCCATTCTGCTTCTTTACATGTCCCAGACAAAACGCAAATCTTGGTATGTGTAAGGATAACTCATTGATGTACTTATGAATGCTTTACTGTGTACATACGATGTACCAGGTACTGTGATATACTCTGAGCATACAAAGAACCAAAGAAAATGCATGATTCAAGAGCTTACAGGAGAGTGGGAGTAGGAGTAAACAGTAGTGAGGATTCAATAATCAATGCTTTAGTAGAGCTATTTGTTCACTTCAGAAAGACAGCAAAAGAACACCTAAATCCTGGAAGAGATGGCACCTAATATAAGGAAGAAGCAAAGCTCTGAGCAATGAGCAATGAGATAGGATCCTTTCTTCATTACTTTAACAAATT